GAAACAATTTGGGTATTTTGTTTTACTGAAAGAGTAGATGCTTCCATCTTATTGTATGTTGGCTTTTAATATTTGATCACTGTTTAGTTAGTTTTCTAGATGATAGTTAAGGTATTTTTTGTTTCGTGTGTTAAAGTAATAGGTAAAATGGATTTCAAAAGTAAAGAAATGGAAACTATTGGGGGTCACACAGAAGACTGTAACCTTTAGTGCTCAGGGTCTCTTTTCTCTTTGGCCTGTACTTGCTCTTGCTTGACCATCACTGTCCAGCCATCGTGCCTTTGTCATCTTTATTGGTATCTTATTAATAGAGTTGTACAAATTATTGCTCCGAATTTAAGCCAAAAATATCCTGCTACCTCAAACTAATACATATTGGGCTAATCTAGACAGGTTGTACTCTAACTTAGACCTTTGGTGCCTGGGTTGTCAGCTCTCTCCCTTAATGCAATTGTGTGAAGCTTCTTTAAATAACAAAAAGGAAAATTCCAATTTGACCTAGCATCAGTCATTGGAAAGTTTCCCTTTTCGATTTAGGATTGCCATTTGGTGAGAGTTAGCCTTGGGCATTACTGAAGTGAAATCTGTTCCAGGCCATTCAAGGAAGAGAGAGAAATTGAATATTGAGGGAAAACAGATTTCAAGGAGTCTAAAGGTGAAACGTTCAAGGTCCAACAATGTAATAAAATGATAGATATGCTATGTTCTTGTACATTTGTGCAGCTTCTTCTACCAACAAGAAAACTGCCATTTGGTTTAGAAGAACTTAAATTCTAATGTGTTATACAAAATTTCCATGTATGTTGCACTGATTCATTTTGATTCATTTTGAGAACTTCAGAATGATGCACATGTAGATGTACAAGCATGCATTGTCATCGTAACAGCTACTGAAACGAATCTGTCTTGCACTGTATATTGGCCTTCTTAAATTTGGATCAGAAAATTCATTTCTTGAATGTCGCAGCTACGCCCTTGCAATGGAATTCCAGCAGCGAGTAATTGATGCCTGGGAAGGCCATGGATCAAGTGCACAAGATGAACTCAAAGAAGCCCAACGTCTTCTCGAAGAATTAAAGACAAAGGCCCGTGGTACATCCACTAACCGGGTTCCTACAAGGGCGTTGCCTTTGCCACAAAATAGCCTCGCTTCCAAAATTTCCATATCCGGTGTTCCTGTTGACTAGAATTCAGCAAGCTCAATATAGTAGACTTGTATTATTAGCTGTGATAGCAATGTTCCTGCAGTTTTTTGTTTGGGCTAGATTTTGTCAGTGAAATGGTTAGGAACAGTATTTGTTCTATTTAATCTTTAGTATACATGTGCAGCTGGTCATTTGAGGCACTCAAAGTAGATTCTCTTTCTTCCCCGGCTCTTGTTGGAAACAACTTTGGACATGCCAATCTGTTAGCAAGTTTTGTGCTGGAAAGCTAATTAATATAATGCTGTTACTTGTACTCAATTTGATGTTTTCTATTAAACCAAGTATGTTTTTCATCTTTGTCAATGCGGTTGTCAGAATATAAATGAGATATATGTGATAACAAAAAATTGGGTGAGTAAAGAAGTTAAATTTTAACCTGTTGCATGATACCATCTTTACTCTTTAAACTTTCTTATCAATAGGTATTGTTAAGAAGGAGCAGTGTTAGTCTCTAGAATCTGATTAGTGACCGTGCCCCCTGAATTTTAGTCTCTGTTCCCAGGTCGTGATGCATTGCTCTGTCAGCATCAAGCAAGATCATGGTTGTCACCGAATTTAGCACTTCCACCGTCTTTTGAGCATTTAGCCACTCTTTCCCCATTCTCTTTTAGCTCAAAGTAATGGCATAATTAGTGGTGTAAGAACAAATTTTTGGCTAATTAAAATTGAACAAAATCATCTTCAGCAGCAGCAAATAATTACTACAAGACAAAGAAGTCGGTGATCATTGCTAGAGGACCTCCGTCGTTCTACCTCGTAGAATTATAGTTACTCATTATTGGGGCCCTCCCCTCTGGCTTCCATTAAAATGCTCCTCTTTGTATCTACTCTTCCCCTCTGTCTCTGTCTGAAACTCTAAACAGAAGTGCATGGAAGCAATCATTGTCATTCATGAAGAGAAACAACTCAAAATTAAATGACATCAATCTTATCCACACATAGTGCCTTAAGCAATGATTCTCACACCCATGCCTGCGTTTTCGGTAAGGAACTAACAACCCCATTTGTTTTTCTCACTATGCAACATCAGTGAAAACTGAAAAGTCACTCACTCTACACTCATCTGACTCTTTTTTGTTATACTCATTTGCCTCACGAAATTTTCCAACTTAAAACAAATTAGCAATCAAAATTAAAGTTAAACAATCTCTAATTATAAATCAAATTCAACAGGAAGTATCGCATTTCTTGGTCATCGGCCGTGTCCAAATGGAAATAAAGACCTCCGAGCTCCATTACTGCATTCTTCTGTAGTATTAATCTCGCCAGGATGTCTGTTTCTTTGAACAATGGCTTGAACAGATAAGAAAAGTTGTTGGTCCACAGCAGAATCCAAGGAGAAAGATCTCCTGATGGGTTGGATCGAGAACTGATCATCTTTCTGTCTAACGTCAATGCACTCATCTCCCATAATTGAGACATGGTGGCGCTTTCTTGATTGTAAGTTTCCGGGCTTCTGCTCCAGCTTTTTTGGTGATTGAACTCTAGGCTGCAACTGCATTAATGCTTCTCTTGAATTGTCTCTCTCTTGTTGCCTATGTGGTAGTAGATCACCTCCATCTTCTCCTCCAAGTTCTATCACTACAAAGTCCTCGTCTCCGCCCATCAGGCTATCCGTGTAAGGCTGTGAGTCTTGAGGCGAAGAGCTAGGTGCAATGATTTGGTTGATTGGATAGCGCGTAGTGCCTGAAATGCTTGTTCTGCAAAGAGGACAATTGGCATTGCTTTGGAGCCATATATCGATGCAATCTAAGTGGAATGCATGGTCGCAGTTCCGAAGAAGTCTAAGCATGTCATGCTCTTGAAACGCATTCAGACAAACCACACAACCATAGATACTTATCTCATCACCTTTCCTTTTGAACTGAAAAGTTGGGATTTCTCGAATGACTGAGTCATCAAGCCCGCGATTCCACATCATTGGAGAGAAAGCAATGAATGTATCTTCCTCTTGTCTGGCTCGAAACAAAGATATTCGTCTTAGCAGATGAAGTTGGTGCCAGCTAGAGCCGCAGCATTTGCTCACAAAGATATAATAGCTAACTAGCAAGAAAGCTGTACCCATGATGCTTAACACAGCAATGGCTAATATAGGAAATGCAGGGTCTGAAGTAGGCAAGGGAGGCTGATAAGTTTGGTTTTGCTGATCTTTGATGGGGGAAAGAGATTGAAATCCGAGGTTGTGGAAGTGTCTATAGTTTGCTGCCATAAGGAAATATGAACCAAGTACAGTCTGACTTATTTGAAAGATGCAGAGGATGAGATCATGAAGTGAATGACTCATAAAAAGTGAATTATCACATAAAGAATGTCTTGAGAAAGAATTAAAGAGTGAATGAGCGAGAAAGAGTCACGGGATTTGAAGGAAATACCAAAGTGAGATATCGAGAAAAGAGGAGTGCGTAAAAAGCTAAAGCCAAAGATTTTGATTACTTGAAAAGGAGAACCCAATTCAGTGCAGGACAGGCACACATGTGCTTCTACCATTGTGCATACGCTGGAAGATATGGTTTTGAGAGATAAATATGGGAAATTTAGTTTTCTTAACAACATTGGTGCTGAAAAGAGAAATAAGAGTGCCTAATATTTCAGTGATCATCAGGTCACCCTCTGAGGGGAGCTTTGTAGGTCCCAAGATTCATACTGCCCTGTTCCATCTGGTCACCATTCACTGTTTCTTCATCGCAATTTATAGTAGACTAGTACTAGAGAAATGAGATTGGTGAACCTCTTCCGTCTGGCCTATTGGATCATTGTCAAAAGCCAACTTTCACTCATTCTCAAAAGTTTCGGAACTGGATGTGATCTTTCACAAGAACTTTCGGCCTAACTATTAAATGCTCCGCAAATCAAAGAAGCAGTGTCAATTTGCCAAGAACAAGTAATGCCTTAGGTCAAAGTATTTAACCATTTTGAAGTACTGAGATGCATGTGTATTCAAATAATTCCCTGATGCCAGCAACTCTTTCTTAAATAAAGGAGGGTGGGTGTTTGATAATATATATATGAGGGCCATACAGCTAATTAATTCTCCAAAAAATTGTTGCTTGAAATCCAAGTAGTTGAGTATATTTTGAAGTGTTGAGGCCTAAATTAATTTCCCATGCCAACAACCCTTTTCAGAATATAAATGAGAGATGTTTAGTGAAATAGCAGATGGGGGAGGGCATAGGTAAGAATGTTGTGCTGGAATTCAATTCCTTCAACTGACTCCTTGTGACTTATTTTTGGATTTTGGTTGTAGAATGCAAAATCCAGCTTCCAGATAACACGGCATTACTAAGTAGGCATATCTGTCTTTTTTAGGAGTTGAGCTTGCCGGCTTTTAAAGTGGAGAGTACATTGAATATATCTTCATAAATAGGGTTGTTTTCTTTGCGCTGCTTGTTGCTTTTCCTTTGGTCAGTTTCATTTTGTAGTCAATGGTTTCTACTTTACTTGTTCCAATCACCCATGTTGTTGTTCATCACGTAATGGTTAGCAATACGTGATCGTCGGAAATTCTATAATTAACTATCTCTTAAGACAGAGTTTTCCTTAACATTACTAAGCTTTAGCCTAAAAACAATCCTTATTATATTCCGTGAAGTAAGCAAACTTGAAAATTTTCATAATTATTTTAAAGACCGAAACAACCATTCTTTGTGTTGCATGCATTTTGGGATTGAGGGAAAGCTAGCAACGGACAGGTCACTTTGGCAATAGCTTTTCAATACTCTTTTATTTGTACCGAATTGATCAGTGACGGTAAATGGAGAATCGGACATTTGATGTGGCAGCATAGGATAGATGACAGGTCTACTACTAGTGTTGTGGCAAGCATTTTGTCAAACTCTGCTTTAATTTTGCACAATCCCACCTTTAATGCTGATCAAACTAGTAAGAATGGCATTTCATCATACTTGAAATGGTTAACCTTAACCTTAGTATACATCATTTTAGAATTTCTCTGTTTCCTGAGTCCCCATCTAAGCAAAAATGATGGCTTAACCATGCATCCTATGCAATCAATAAACAATCTTCGAACTTTCTTTTATCAAATCGACAAATCTTTTCATCATTTATAGAAAACCATGAAGAAGGAGTCTAAGATGCCAATCCCACGACTCGAAGAAATTTTGTATTTTTACAGAACTATACATTTCTGACCAAGAATAACATAACAATTCATACGTCATCACCTTGGAATAAAGAAAGGTGGAAAACCAATGTGAACTGAATTTATAATGTCAACTTGCCAATTCAATATCTTCAGCCAAATCATTGCTGTATTATTAGAAAGTTAATGATGCAGTGCATATGCCTACCGCCGATTATAAAACGCAAGCTTGCCAAAGATTTCTATTGTTTATTTATTGGTCAACTTTCCAGTGAGGATTTTAATGCCCTTTATTTCCTCTAGCTTCGCCTCAAAGGCTTTCACAGCATTGAATAAAACTATCTTCTACTTTCGAACATAGGCATCGTTGAATTGAAAATCATGGAATTGCTTTCAAGCTGGTGTTATGATGGTTCCTTACCAGAAAGCTACGTGATGCCACCAGAGAGAAGACCTGGAAAGCTCATTGTTCCCCTAGGAAAATCAGTTCCAGTGGTTGATCTTGAGCTGCATGATCGAAACGAGACAATTCAGCAAATTCTGAAAGCTGGTGAAGAGTACGGATTTTTCCAGGTTCAGTCAGTACCTATCACATTTCTCTCTTAATATTGCTTTCTTAAATTTTCATCAAGAATCGAAGCATCTCAGCAAGCTATGCTATATTTGATCACATTCATATTTGTTGTTTTTTGAGGTACTTTTTTTTTTCGTTGACTAATTCTAGACCATACATATAAATCGGCAGGTAATCAACCATGGAGTTTCTGAGGATTTAATGGATAAAGCCATGAACGTTGCAGAGGAATTCCATGCAATGCCTGCGGTGGACAAGGAAAGGGAATGCTCCAAGGACCCAAGTGGAGGCTGCAAGCTGTACACAAGCAGCTATGCTTATCCCAAGGAGGATTTTCACTATTGGAGGGACGCTGTGACGCACCCGTGCCTTTCTTTAGAAGAATGCATTCAATTTTGGCCTGAAAAGCCTACTAGATACAGGTCAACTATCAAGTCATATGTATAATCTTGATATGATATCTGAAACTTTCCTGCTTTTTGCATGAAAATTCCTCGCCTTAATATGTGTTGACGTTTTGACAGTTTGACCTACCCATTTCTCATTGTTCATTATTTCAGGGAGGTGGTTGGGGAGTATTCGGTTGAATTAAGGAAGCTGAGTTGTAGAATTCTGGAGTTGATCTGTGAAGGGCTAGGACTTAGCGCTGGATATTTCAGCAGCGACCTCATTCAAGTTCCAAAAATCATAATTAACCACTACCCTCCGTGCCCTGAGCCAAGTTTGACGCTGGGATTATCTAAACACCGTGACCCTTCTATCATTACCATTCTTCTCCAAGGCCACATACATGGGCTTCAAGTCTTCAAGGATGGCCATTGGATTGGCGTTGAACCTCTTCCTCATGCCTTTGTCGTTAATGTAGGCTTTCTGTTACAGGTAGGTATCCCTCAAACATTTTTTGTCACGGTCATTTTTTATTTATTATAATAATTAGAACCTGACGGTGAATAATCTGTCAATTTAATTCTCATATCCATTTAAGAATTTTTTCTTCCTTATTGCGGCTCACTCGTTTAAGTCATGGTAAATTTTAGATTATAAGCAATGGGAAACTCAAAGGAGCAGAACATCGAGTGGTGACCAATTCAAGCGATGCTAGGACAACTATTTCCTACCTCGTTTACCCTTCTGATCAAACCCTCGTAGAACCAGCAAAAGCTTTGGTCAATGCATGCAATCCTGCACTGTACAAGGCCTTCAAATTTTTTGATTTCGTTACAGCCTTCTTACTCAAGCCTGACAATACTGGTGAAGCTGTAAAGGAGCTTATAAGCGCTCCCCACAATCGTAACTGCTAGTCAACTAGCAGCTGGTTCATGTCATATATATGCATTTTGTGTACAGTTTTGCTTTGTTTTTCTTTTCCAACCAAGCATCTTTGTGTGAAGTCATATGGAACTACGTTATAAACATATAGCAACAAAAGCATATTGTTACAAGGCTATTATAAACCACTAATCAGGTTTGCTTGGACAAATATTAGTAGTTGTGGGCAGTTTTATCCATTTGGAAGTTTAATAAATCTTATAGACCACTATAATGTTAAGGTGTACTTGTTAGAAAATTGTATTTTGTAGTATATGCTGGCTTAAATACAAGATTAGAGCTATACAATTTGATAAATCACAATGGGTTTTTCCCTATTACTTTGGTTAAGCGAGCTCAATGAATTAGAATCTTAATATAATATCAAATATATCATGACAATTTAAAGAAACAAAGTTAAAGTTTGTTTCAATATTTTTAAAAAAAAAACACAGTGGAAGTCAATTATATAGTTTCTAATAACAACTAAATATTTTTAAGAAAAATGCTTTTTGCCTAAGTATTTGCTTACTTTATGTGACAATATATTATTTATTGGTCCAATTCCAACATTTCACTATGAAATTGTAAATCACACCCGTATTGGTTGACCTCACATTTTATTTTATTCAATAATATCATGTTTTTATTGAGACTATGTACAATTGATATACAACAAAAATAACTGGTAATTTTTATTTTTATTTTTTGAAATTGAAGGATCCACCATTATACTAATAACTAGATTATTTTAGAGCAGGTGAATTTAGCTTCTCTACTCTCGTATCATAACATATTTCGATTCATTCATGCAGAATATTTATTTATTGAATCACTTTCTCCTTCTGAAAAACTTCATTGAGATGGACTGGACTTTGATTGCGGTCGCCCTGCGTAACCTCAATTCAAATACTTAAATGAATAAATTGAGTGTGATTGTTTACAAAAATAAAAAAAGGAATGCAGCTTATGCTATAGTCTATAGATGGCAGTAGGATTTATTAAACGAGGAAAATGACCCACTTCGCTGCAAGTTGGTAAAATTAATGTTTTGTTTTTGGACGAAGTTGGTAAAATTAATGTTGATAGCATTAACTTTTGTATTTTAAAATTATAAATCTGATATATTAGGTTAGGAATTAGTTTTGTTACGCATCATGATAATAATAATTTACAAAAGCCTTACCAATTGTCTTTGAAAATGATCTTGTCACATTACATGCAATTTATCGTCCAATCATCCTGTAGTCATGTGTTGGACCTGATAGTTATAGTGCAGGCAAATTCAATGATGAATTCACACTTTTACAGGAGGAGTGATTAAAAGATAATATTATATATATGTATGTATATATATAAAGTTATACATATATATATATATAATAATAAAGAGAATTAAAAATTAAGAAGTGGCGACTGTCATCACCTATATTTTTTTGGCTTTGTCACTGCTGGGAATAGGCATTATTGATAATTATTTTTAATTTTTTTATATTTTTTACAATTATATTTTTAAGTTTATTGTCAAGGTGATTGGTCGGACATTTTCATCAATTAAAATATAATTCACGAAACATTACTTAATTATAAAGGAGAGAACATTTGAGAAAGAATAGATTTGTGATGTACATTAGCTATTAAGGAGATCAAACCATATCACTGTGATTCTTTAGATTCGTAGTCTATTATAATAAATTTGTAAGTGATATTAATCATTTTATATCATGCAGTAAATCAGAAAAAAAAGGTTTTTCACATATGATTGTCGTACTACATTATTAATCACTACTTACCGTTCAGATTTTATTTGT